CGTCTCTCGGTTTGACGAGAGATGTAGCCATCTTCTTTTCACTGGTTATGAGTATGGTACAGGGGAATGTTTCATGAAATTACATACAGTGAAACTGGTGTATATTCATTTAGATCTTGGAAATTAGAGGTTTAAAAATATACAACTAGGATACGTATTCGTATAATGACATCGATCAAAATTGACGTAAATATTTGCCAAATAACGTTTATAAAACTCGATATGCGTCAAATTGACGCGTTCCATAAATCTAGTGTTAAAGAGACTTTAAATTCCGTTACGTAATCGCTCAACCGATGATAAACCTATGACACGAACCAGGTGTGTCCGGATATTTACTGTCGGCTTAAGTTATCAAACATTAATATTGAAGAAATTATCGTACTCTACGATAGAAATCTCGGCCGTTTCCAGTGCTCGGACTCGTGTATTGTCAGTGACGATCAACTGAACGATAATGAGTCTTTTGCAAGATTGTAAACATAACGTCCTCATTCACGTGACTAAGCCCGTTTGAAAAAATCTTCCGTTCAGAATTGACTGTTATCAGGCACACCGATAACAGAAATTTAGTAGCGCGTTTTTTTTTTCAATTTTATTCCTCATACAGATTAACGAGTTTCTAAAAATATAAATTCACTTAAATCATTTAACTCGCAAGGCTACTATCTTAACTTAAATATTGAATCTAGTTAATTATCAACACAGAAATTTCAAATTAACGGATAAAATTCATAAAGCTTCGATCAAATTTTCAAGTAAAATTTATAAATAAACAAATAATTGCAACAGCTGAAAATTGTTATTTTACTTTTAAAGTAATATACTCTGTATAATTATCATCGTCTCCGAAATAATTGAATCTTATTATATTTAAAGCTATATATAAATTACGTTTGTTCGAACAAAAACTGCGTCCGATTTTTCGATTTAAAGAAGACGTCATCAAAGCTGAGCTGTCTACCGCGTGTCTCGACGAAGCGGAAATAATTTTGCAGCGCGTCGCGCTAGATAAAGTTGCCCTATCATTCGCCCCTATGAAATATGGTAACCCACTGACGTGTACACACACGTGTTACGCGCACACCTATTAACTTGCCATACAGTGTCTCTCTGATAGTTCTTGCTGTAATCAGACTCGATCATTTAGACCGACTCTAATGATATAATCTTTCCAAAGCTGCACAAATTGTAAACATTAAATTAAACGCAAACAACAGTAATTTTGCTGTTTTCCTCTTCCCATACTTTTATAATAATTCCGAGTATCCTTATCATCCGTGTCATTGAACCGTCTAATAGAACGTTTAACAATAATACTTAGAACTCCAGAATCTTATTTCAACTCCTGAATCATTAGCTCACGCGAAGTTAAACGCTGCACACAATTAGATGAAACACCGTGTTTGATCCAGTCTTAACGTCAGCTTTATTAGTGATAAAGTCTCAGATAATGATGATTAAGGTTTCTGATAACAGTGTGATAGGGCATTGTTGTTTCAGATGCAATTTTCAATCATTTCGCATAAAGTAACCAGAAAGAAAGGATAGAAATTCATTCAGCTCTATTGCAATAGCATATCCGCATTAGTTTCTCAAAATGTTTCAACAAATTTCAGAAACGCTGGAAAACACGGATTCGTAGCACCTAATATTCTCTCGCAGCTGAAATTATTTTCCTTGCTCGAAGGACTGCGTCGAAAGCCAGTCGTTACGGGACGTATCAAACTATGATGTCAGAGTGATGTCACATCTGTAGATGTCCGATATTGCTGTTCACCAGCGCTAGGAACGTTTTATCAATGAATCACGCACGCGTGTTGTTTTATTTAAAAAAAAAAACAATGGTAAACGGAATCGCCAACGAGCGCCGTGGATTCGGCATTCATTCCGCCGCTCGGCGGCCATCTTGTCGAATATATCGCCGAAATACAGAAAACTCTTTATTTACAGACGCGATAAAGAATTCCGTTCAATATTTACTGATTTTTTTCATTACGAGCCCCGGCGTCTATATGCAACCGTTCCTTCTCACAGATTACGTGAACCTTTTTATCAGAGCCCCGCTTCGGGGCGAGATATCAAAATCGGATTTCGACATCACGCGCGTCGCACTGGATGACGAAAAGATGTTATCGCGGGAGGGAACAATAATCACATAATTTAATACACTTTTCCCGATAAACGGTTTTACCTATCTTATCGGAATCTTCTCTTTGTGGTGTGTCGTTTTTAATCGGGCAAACGTCTCCGTTTCTTTCGTTCCACGATATACAGATGTTTTCGTTAGAGTGGCACGACCTCCTTGGCCACTAATGGTTAAGGATACGATACACGGAAGAACGAAAAATGAAACGGGACCGCGATTACGGACTTTTATCAATGAGCCCGAACATAATCGGAAACGGATCTGGTGCGTCGTTTTCGCGCACCTCGGTCGTTCTAACGACGACGGTGTGTATAACCAGCCATCAAACTGTCTGTTCTGTGTGCCGAGCCTCCTGCGACCGTTATCACGTGTCCCCTTATCGCGAAAGAAAACCCGATAAAATGGCACGCCGTTATGCGCGATCGCCGAGCCTGCATTATGCCGTGAATAGCTATTGTTTATGTCATTCGCCCGACGCAATTTCGCTCCGGGCGCGCTACGAAGTCGCGGATACATCTTTTTTTTCTTTTCCAAATAAAACCCGGTTATTGATCGGCAACAATCGCGATCGCGATAAAGCAGATCGTATCAGTAACAAGGCGGCGTTAAGATTGCTGTAAGAAAGAAAGAAACAATCTCAGCGGGAGTCGATCCCAGCAATAATTTCCGAGATCGGGCGGATTATTGTTTCAGGCTCTATTACAAAGTAGCTCTTCGATAAACGATATTATCGTTCCAGTAAACATTAGAAAACCGGGACGGTCTATTTCAGGATTTTCTCAGGGAATACAAAACTGAATGGTGACGCGAGATTTTCATGAATACATTTGAAACTTTAATCGGCGTGTAACCGGCGAGTTTCACTGCGGTGCTAATCAATGGAGAAGCATAACGAAGAATTTTAATCTATAAATCCCGAGCTACCTCGCATTCGGACATGTTTGCGAATGCAACGCTGTCCCAGTTAATTAGATTAACAAAACATTCATCACAATTTGAAAGTACAGCAGTATTTAGCGTCAATCTCGAGTTCTAATTTTGCTATTTGACACATTCGCTACCAGCGTTTATTTCGGTGAAGACCTCCTCAATTGTAATATTTTATTCAATACAATAAATCTTCTAACAAATTATCGAAGAAATGAAACTGGAACGAGTTACTGAGTTCGTAAATATAATTCCGTAGCTTATAACTTTAAATAACAATATCCATAAGATTAATTTAATTTCCTTTATGTAAAACATAAGATTGCGCTCGTCACAAATATGTGACGCTGGTATCGTTAACCCTTTGAACTCTAGGCTTCAATATTGCACCAGTTATAATATTAAATATTTTAATGAATCTTAAAAAAACTACCCTAAAATTATTCAATTTTCCATACATCCAAATTTTGCACTGAGAAGGAAAATAGAAGATCGAAGAAATGTTACAGCATTTCTTATTTTCGCTAGGAATACAATAAAAATTAGTTGCAGTTACTGATAGATTACAAAACAACCTGGAGTGCTAAGGGTTAATTCAGTTTTCTTTCATCGGTTGTCTCAACTTTAAAATCAAAGCTACCGAGGTACAGCGCGGAGATTAAAATGGGTGGAGCCCTTTTCAATTTTTATGCGCAGTCCGATTCGTATCGCTGATTCTCCTCTGGCGCAAAGTCTCTGGTAGGGAGGCGGGGGACGCCGGCGGAAGGAAAAAGGAACAGACCAGCAAGGAACAGAGGCTTCCGTCAAACCGCCGGTTAAAAAAGTCCATCGAAATCGATCAGCGGATACGTAAAAGATTTCTCTGTATTCCGTTGAATCGGCGAGCGCAGTTCGTTAGCAGCATTTTCTCGAGTGTAAAGTGGACCTCTCGTTGCGAAGAGTGGGTACGCGGAGCAAGCGAGCGCGCGCGCGCGCGCGCACTCCCCGGCCCCGCCGCAGCGTCTCCGACCACGGCATATCGGTGTCCTTCGCTCACCGACGGCGATCCGCATTCACGCTCGAGTCCCGGTCGCTGACTACGTGTCCCCCTAGGGCAGGCCGCACGGCGCATGCGCAGCTTCACGATTATGACGTCACCCACCATGACGCCACAACGCCCGATTGGCGGAGCGCGTCGTAGCCGTCGTTGTGTCGTCGTCGTCGTCGTTGTGTCGAATGCCGTGGATCGTGTATGTGGGGAGCGGGTAGCGAGGGGCGTAAGCGACGAGTGGCGCGGAACGCGGTGGGGCTGGCGGAGAGAGGGAACGAGCCTGGGTCGGCCGAGGGGTGGGAGCGGAGC